GCTCGGTACTTTTCTCCTCTCAGCAGGGTTTTGTTTACAGCACACACGATTTCCGGTTAGCTTCTTAGCTTAGCCTCCGTCACAGCGACAACACATACATGCTTCAGCAGAGGCCACGCCTCCTGCATGAAACGCTTGTCTATGCATCAATTCCAGACCCTCGTACGAAGCAAAGTAAAGGACAGGGTCTGATTTTAACCAGGCTACCGCGATATATACCGTTACAATGAAGGGATTCAATTCATCCCGTGAAATGAATTTGAGGTCATACCGCCCAGCCCTAATTCTTGTTGTAGTTCCTGCTTTAGTTCCTGCTGTAGTTGTGTATAATCTGACCTGTAGTGATGATAAACTGCTGTCACTCTTCATTCCAACAGCTCAGCCCAACCATGACCCCAACACGCACCACTGCCTGTGTGGAGCTGACGGTAAGTCTTCAGTCTGTCACCAGCAGGCAGGTTCTACCTTCATCTGACTGATGTTTTCACTTCCTGTCAGCTGACCTCATCATGCTGGGTCTGGCCACTCACGAGCCCAACTTCACCATCATCAGGGAGGAGTTCAAACCCAATAAACCCAGACCCTGCGCCCTCTGTGGACAGATGGGTCACGAGCTGAAGGAGTGTCAGGGCGTGGCCAGAGAGAAGAAGGGACAGGTGGGTTCCCCTCCAGGTGTTACAGACGGAGGCTTCTCTGGGGTCCTGACGTGTTCCTTCTTTTTCAGCACGATGAGTTTGCAGATACGATACCGACGGCAGAGCAGGAGTTTATTTTCATCAGACTGTCTGTTCTCAGAGAGGTCGGTTATCTTCATCACTTCAGCTGAAAATAAGAATTTACCTTCATTATTTGTGGTGAAGACAACAAGCAGTTGAAATAAACTGAACATTAAGAAAGAAGTGATGAACTGTGATCCAGCCAACATGGAATAAATGTCTCCATGTTTCCAGTACCTGTCCAGAGAGCTGACCATGGCCAGCCTGCCCTTTCCCTTTGACTTTGAGAGGAGCGTGGACGACTGGGTCTTCATGTGCTTTTTTGTAGGAAACGACTTCCTGCCTCATCTTCCATCTCTAGAGATCAGGTGAGCTGCTCCACACACTCCAACTTTATCTTAGAGGCAAAGAAAGAGGTGTCATCAGGAAGTTTGGACAGAGCCAGACTCTTATTGTGAAACTCCAGGTCCTAAGCTCTTCCTGTTTCCTGTCGACCCTCCGACTGAATCCTCCTGAACACCAAAGATTAGAGATGTGAAGGATTTGTGGATCAAACTGAAACAGTTTGTGGAAATCAGAACTGGTTTTTGTACTGAGTCAGACTTCATGGTTTCTGGTCCAGTGCAGGTTTGATGATTTATTTGAAGTTGTGAGAGGAGAAGTGAATGATCTTTAGATAAAACTGATCTCAGGGAAGGATAAATGAAATGAAACGAGTCAGAAACCCTCAGTAGAAGCACTGAGTTCATCTTCAGCTCCTGGAAGTCAAAGTAAAGCAGATTTTCTGATTGTGAAAGAGTTTGGCATTTCACGTCCTGTAAAGATGAAGCGTATTTTCAGAATATGTTGTGGTTAATCTGTTAATCCTCTGAGCTCGTCTCTGATCCTCCGAATGACTGCTGACATTTTAATCAGAACGTTTTACAATTAGCATTTGAAATTGCTGGATTGTGGGTCCTGTTCAGGGAAGTTGATTTCCTTCAGGTTGGGCTCATTCCTGCAGTTAAAGCTGATCTTTTTATCTTTTAGAGAGGGAGCTATAGATCGACTGGTCGGCATCTACAAAGACGTTGTTCATAAAACCGGAGTGAGTACCTTCAGCCCTCTGTCTGGTCCAGGAGAGATCCTGTCCTGATGTGTGTTGCTGTGTGTCTGCAGGGCTACCTGACGCAGAACGGCTTCGTTAACCTGGAGCGGGTGGAGCTTATCATGCAGGCAGTGGGCGTGGCCGAGGACAACATCTTCAAGAAACGCAAAGAGGATGATGTGAGACTTCACTGCTCCGCTTCAGCGCCTCAGCTCAGAGCTGCCAGGGTTTTTAAAGTCCCTTTTTTTTGTCTTGCAGGAAAACTTTAAGAGGAGAAACAAAGAGAAACGAAAGAGGATGAAGGTGAGTCCAGCAGAGGTCCGAACCTGAAACAACTGGACTTTAGTTCTGCTTTGGAATCAGCTGTTGAATGTTAACTTAAAGTGGAACTTACCCCTCCTGTGAAAGGATAACTCCGCCCCAAAGCAAATTTGAAACATGCCAACAAAGTGGGCAGTGCCAGGAGACACTGAGGGGTGGGGCCTAAAGTGTGGGACTGAGCGAGGAGGCGTGGCCAGGAGGAGAGAAGGTTTCTTTTTAAAGGGATACATGATTAGTTGTAACATTAGACTTTATTTGATAAACATTTATTTCAACTGTAAAATAAAGACTGTAAAGATACTGTAGGATATCATTTTTAAACTAAAAGTTTCAAAAGTCGCAGTTTGTTACTGAAAATATGAATGGAGGACCTCAGTGATGAGAGGAGAATGTGTAGCGCTGAGCTAA